AAAAAGTTTATGTAAGATTCCCTTTTAATATAAGTTTTATTAATATTAAGATCTGGTAATTTAAGAGGAATATTTTCTGATTTATTTACTTTATGGAAAAGCATATATTTTGTTTTTTCCGCATTTAGTGAAAGTTTATTACTTACTAACCATGCACTAACATTACATAACTGTTCGTTAACTATTTTAAAAAGTGATTTAATATCTCTGTGAGAACAAAAAAGATTTGAATCATCAGCAAACAAAATTAGGTCTAAAAGATTTGTTGATAGGTATAAGTCCTTTATGTACAATATAAATAAAAGTGGTCCTAAAATAGAACCCTGAGGAACCCCGCAAGTTATGGAGTGTAGAATTGTATTATTTTGATTATAGTATAAAAATTGCTTTCTGTTAGTCAGATAATCTTTGAACCAAAGTAAGTTTTTATTTTTTACACCGTAGTTTTCGAGTTTTTTTATTAGCATATAGTGATTTACGGTATCAAAAGCTTTTGACAGATCAATGAAAACTCCTAATGTAAAACAGTCATTATCTAAGGCATTAGATATTTGATTGGAAAGTTCAACTACTGCGTGTTCAGTGGAATTTTTTTTTTAAAACCAAATTGTTTACAACACAACATGTCGTTCTCAGTTAGATGATTATAAAGTCTGTTATACATTATTCTCTCTAGCAATTTTGAAAAACAAGGTAAGATTGATATAGGCCTGTAATTTAAAATATTTGACTTATCTCCAGATTTAAAAATTGGTGTTATACGGGCAATTTTTAATTTATTAGGAACAATACCTGACTTTAATGAGAGATTGAAAATGTGAAATAAAGAAGGTTCAATGACTTCAAATACTGATTTGACAACATCAACACTAATTTTATCAAAACCTTCACTTTTTTTACTTTTGAGACTGCTAAATGCAGTTCTCAACTCACTCAGTTTTAAATCAGTTTCATCCATAAGTTTATCATAAGTTTTTAAGTATGAATCAAATGGAATGGAATTAGTAGAAATTTTAGCAGCCAAATTCGGGTTAATATTAACAAAGTAGTTGTTTAGTTCTTCAGCTATAATTGATTTTTCATAAACTAATTCTCCATTAATTAAAAGATTTTTTGGCAGAGTGCTTTTGTTATAATTATTTTTTCCAATTAAATCCTTAATTAAATTCCATATTTTTTTAGTGTTTCCGTTGGTTTTCTTTAATAATTGATCATAAAATAGTTTTTTTGAGTTTTTTTTGGTTTTTTCAAATATATTTTTATAATTTTTGTAAGTTATTTCATTTTTATAAGTTTTTTTTTTAAGATATTTTATATATAATTTTTCTTTCTTTTTTGAAGATTTTAGTAAGCCTTTAGACATCCAGGGAGCTTGAAGTGACTTGGTATTTATGACTTTTTTTATTTCTGGAAACGCTATTTCATATTGTTTGCAAAATTGATTAAGAAACAAGTCATATGCATTGTTAGCCTCATTTGATTGCAGTACTAGATTCCAATCAACACAATTTTTTAAACAATTTTTAAATTGTTTTAAGGAGTTTTCATTGATCTGTCGCCGAATTATTATGGATTTTGTGGAAATATTGTTAATTAAAATGTTATTTGTAGCTAAGAATGTAGGAAAATGATCCGTAAATCGGTCTGGATTATACCTGTGTAAAGAGGGTTATTATGAAAGTTGTTAGTTATGATGTTATCAAGTAGAGTAGAAGACCTATTTGTTATTCTTGTTGATTTGTTTATTGTTGGGATAAAGTTATATTGTAGAAAAGTATTTATAAAATTCTTAGTATTATTATTTGAAGCATAGTTGATCAGGTTAATGTTAAAATCCCCCACCAAATAAATATGTTTTCTCGAATTTGTAATTTTGTTTAGAAATGTTTTAAGATGAGTTTTAAATTTCTTTAAGTTTCCAGATGGTGGTCTATATGTAGTATTTATAATTATGTTTTTTTCTTTATTATTTACTAATTCGACGCACAATGATTCATAATCTGTTTCATTGACGCAGAGATCGTTACGTAAAATATAATTAACTAAATTATGGATAAAAATACTAACGCCCCCACCCACATTAACTTCACGCGGTTGGTGAATTGATGTGTAATTAACTAGTTCAAATTCATAATTTGTTTCACCGCATTTACACCAAGTTTCCGTCAAACATATAATTTTAAAATCGTGTTTAATTTCATCCAATAAAATTTTTAAATCTTCAAAGTTTTTATTTAAACTTCGAATATTGATATTTAAAATTGAAAACGTGTTTTTAGTTTGTCCTAGATATTGCGAAGATTCAGAAACTGAGTAGTATTGACTTTCTAGCATATTGTGATTAAAATAATTAGAGTCGGTGTCATTATCACCGATGATGTCATTTTCATTAGAAGATTTAAATATGACATTTTCCTCCATTTTTAAAACAGTTTAATTAAATATGCATAGTAATAATAAAAATAAAATTGTGTTAATTAATGCCAAATTTTATGAAGATAAATTTTTGCTTTTCTTTGCAACCCAATCGCGAATTATCAATTTATCATAAGATATGAAGGCAAACTTACCAGCGGCTCGTTCAATTTTCATTTTCTCCCTCAAATTTTTTCTGATTTGTGTTGTTTCAAAACAGAAGTCTTCGTTTATATAAATGTTTTTCCCTTTTAGCTTACTCGACTTGCTCAAGATCGCGACTTTATCTCTAAAATCTAAAAGTTTTATCACTATTGTCCTCGACATTTTTAATTTTTTGTTTCCAGTTCTATGGGCCCGTTCAATTTGGACATTTTTAACTGATAATATATCTTCAAAAATTTTTTTTTACCTTCATTTCGCTTTCTTCCCAGCTTTCACCTTCATTTTCATCAATTTCATCTACTCTTAAATTGTTACGTCTAGATCGATCTTCCAATTCCCTTAACTTTTTTTGTATACTTTCTGAATTGTCTTCTTTACTGCAAACCTTTGCTTTCTTAACTTTTTCATCAATTAGTTGTTCATGAAAGTTTAAACTAAGTTTCAATTCTTCGATGTCTTTTTCTACTTTTTCCAACCTGCCATTAAATATTTTCAAGTTTCCACTAATAATATCAATAAAAACTTTTTCTTGTTGTTTTAACATCAACTCAAATTCTTTTTTGTAGTCCTCAAACAATTTTGTTATTTCTAATAATGTAACAGTCATATTATAAAAAAAAAAGATTTGTATTTTAGAAAAATAAATGTAAAGTAATTTCGCTTTAATAAAGTCGTTTAAAAAAAAAACACGTCCGATCGCGTTGAAGTTGCGGCTAATTTTAGTTTATTTAGTTTATTTAGTTTTACATTACCATGAATTGATATCCTTGCTCACATGCAACACACCTTTTGTTTAAAGTTTAATTTTGCATTAATAACATCTTTTGGTAAATATTTTCTGTAGCTTCGTAATGTTCCTACAACATCAGTTTTTCTTTGAACAAGAAAATCACAAATTTCCAATGAGATTTACCAATTGTCCAGGTATATTCACCGTCCAGCATCTAACAATCCTTCAGATAATGACATTACTAAATCAGTGGCAAAAACATGCACTTTTTGATTGTATTGATTGTTTAAAACTAAGCCTCCACTTCCACAGAAGTAATGATTCATCTATAGATATATCGCGTCCCGGTTGTAACATAATTTTCCATCGATTAACAATGTACTCCTGAATGCATTTAATTTTTATATTCTTTGTTTAACTTTTGTCTACAAAACTGGAAATATCTATAAAATGAAGAAATTTCTCTAGTAATAATAGTTTGTTTTGTGATAGCCTGGTGTTACAAACAGTTTGCTTTTTGTATAGTACTTTGGCAATTTGGGCTTTAAACAATACTACAGTAGATAATCACAGCAAAATGAAGGCGTATGTCACCAGATGTAAATATAGCTCCACTATTGATAAATTTAAATATACTTGAGCTTCTTTGAAATATTTTACCTCCTGTCATTTGGTTAAAGTAAATGTTAGTTTGTTCAGCAATGTACTCACAAAGTTCATTTGTAATAATATATTCAAATAATTCAAGAGGATCAGAGTTTTTTATATCTTCATTGACTTTTTCTTCACAAATAAAATTAAATCGTTTCATTTCTTCTTTAGGAGGTTCTTTTTGCCAATTTAAATTCTCATAGCAACTACCTTTTTTCTTCTTTAGAGCTGGATCTGTATTTATATTCTTGATATTTTGATCAACTAATGGAATATTCTTAAAATTATCGTCACTGTAATCATTCAAATATAACTCTTCATCTGATTCTGATTCGATTAAAAATTCTATTTCACTGTCAAATGAAGATTCTGTCAACGAAGAAAGTTCCGGGTCTTCTTCCAAAACAAAATTTACAGCGTCTTGGACAGATATAGATTGTCGTTTATCTACCATTGTTATTTTTATTTATAAACGAAATTTGTGGTTATTAGTTCCATAGAACATTCGAGAATCGTAAAATCGAGGTTTAAAGGGTGTATGACTAATTTTAAGGTGTTACAAACTCTATAACCAGCACCTCATCTCAGCGCGTATCCTTACGTCTGTGCTCCTTAACGCATAAAAAGGTCCTCCGTAATATTACGGCGTTTTTTCCTAAAGGGTTAAATTGTTTAGAAAAAAATGTTGAGCGCGCTTATAACGACTTTTAACTGCTTTAGCTTGGTTTCTTTTCACTTTTTACGACCGTAAAAAAACTTTTGGCGCAAAAAAATTTATACAGAAAAGTCTACTTGATTTTTGTTTTTTTATATGACAACATTTTTTTCTGACAGGCTGTTAAAAAAGTAACGCAGTAACTTTTACTCTGAGTACATTTTTGATAAGCTACTTTTTACTTTTTGATAAGCTACTTTTTACTTTTACTTGAGCAAACTTTTCGACCGGTAACTTTTACTTGTACTTGAGTATAAATTTCACTCAAGTAACAGCACCATTACTTGAGTACAATTTTTTATTACTTTTTCCACCCCTGGCAGTTAGTTTGAAATAGACGCTCTGACTTTAAATGATTGTGATAAAATGCGGAACCTTCTTAAACACTTTTGTTGTAATACTTTGAAACATTTGATGCTACATTAATTAAAATACTTCATGCAGCAGACGAATTTTGGTCTATACTTTGTTCATGCATTTAGTGACAACATATTCTTGGAGGTACCGAGCCAATACCTTTTATGTTAATTAAAAATATTTCAAATCAATAATATAATATTAGATATAAATATAAAATATAACACAATTAAAAAATATAACAAAAACATTAAAAATATTTCAAAGGTTTAATAATAAAATATATTTTTTTATTAAAATACAATTGTGAAGAAATCTTACAAAAGTTTATTCTATGGTTAAGACACGCAGAGTATCAGTAACTGGTATGCATACTTTTCTAAAACACTAAGAGCAGAGGCGTAGCAATGAGATAGGGGGGGGGGGGAAGGTGAGGCATTCGCCCTGGGCGCCACTCTAAGGGAGGGGGAAGACGCAGAAAAGGAGAAAAAATAGTAAAATCAAATGAATTTACTACTCTGATCCCGAGCCTACAAATGCTCAGTGACTAACAGTCAAACAACTACAAGATCCCATAATGAACTTTAAAGATGCAGCATTTAATATAGAAATGTTGGAAAATTATCTCAAAGAATTTCGTGTTCATATGTGCCAAAATGCAATTGAGTATAGCAAGGGCAGATGTATGGAATGGGGAATTTAAGTTGAGAGGAGAGTCAGGCTACGGTAAATAATGCCAGATGAATGGAATGGAGATAGTGGCCTCTCTGCTGAAGATGAAGTTAGCAGAGTTTTGAAAATGATATTGGATAGTTTCCAACAAGAACTTGTTTTAAACAATTAAATAATCTTAATGAAAAATTTGGATTCTTGCTTGAAGTGAGACTATTACAAAAGAGGAATGGTGATGAAAATCAAGAAAGTTTGCAGCAACAATGTTAGGATCTGGAAAACTTTTACAGTACAGTGGAGCAAAATTATTTACTGAAATCACAGACTGTCAGATACTGTTTAAATCTCGTGGGGGCCCAATATCATCAACTCCGCTGGATTTACTTTCAGGGTTCCTACTCTTAAAATATTTATGTTTAAAAATAAATGCAGCAAGACATAAAATCTTTATTTTTTATTCGCACTGCAAATAACAACACATTGTGCGAGAAATATTTCTCTATAAATCATAGAGAAATTTTTCTCGCACAATGTGCTGTCCACCTTATTCTACTTAGGTATTTAATGGTACCTATCCGGTCTATTACGCACCACTTAAAATACCAGAATATCTTCCATCTGAATATATTCCATCTGTGAGTTGAAGAAGCAAGAAATTATGCAAACATTTAAAAACCTTGAGAAATTGGGTGCAGCATCACAGGTGTCAACAACATTTACGCCTACTAAATTTAGAGAATGTTCTGCAAAAGGATTAGAGTCGATATTTGTGTTCTCATTTTTTAGTTGTGCTTATAGGCCGTAGTATTTAATAATGTGTTCCTTCATTTAAACTGCGCAGTACTCTTAGATTGTCATTTGACATATTTTCTTGCTAAGCTGTTGAATTGGATAACACATTGTTCATTAAAGAATTTTTTTTAACTTTGGACAATTTGCAGTTGCTTTTGAGTCACTTCCCGGCATCATACGTTGGCATCATACATCAATACATCATACATCAATACATCATACGGCATCATACGAGCACGCATACGTTGGCCAACGTATGCGTGCTAGCTGGGAAGTGACTTAAAAGCAAAGTATTTTTCTAACTACGCACTAATGTCGTAATACAACTTTATTAATTTTTAGATTGCTTATAGTGTGTTACAGGTTTTAATGATGAAATAGTTTTTGGCCATTCTCAAATCTTTTTATTTTATTTTAGCGCAATTTTTTTATTAGAGAGTGTTTTTGTATTTATAACAAATTAAAATAAGTATATAGACCATAACCCATATATTCTTTAATAAATGTATATTTATGTACACATTATTTAACTTGTTTTGAGCAGCTGTCACGCAAATGAAAAAGTGCCTTGAAGCAAATGTTGGAATTATTGAAGATGTTAAAATTAAACTAAATATAAGTTTAATACTTTTTTTTAACACTAGAGGCTAAAATCACTAAAAATCATTAGTAATGATTTTTTGAAAGGTCTCTAGTGCTAAAAACTAAATTTAAGTTTAATATTTTTATTACTTAAACTGAATTCAAGTTCAATACTTTTAAGCACTTCAAAAAATCACTACTGATGATTTTTAGTGCTAAAAAATATTAAACTTAAATCTAGTGTATCTTCATTCAAATTACTTAATACTAACATTAAAAAAACAAATATTTCATATGCAGTATTTATATGTTTAACTACTACTTAGTTATATTACAGTACGTACCATACGTACGCGTTTGGCGCGTACAGTAAGCGTTTGTCGGCGCGTTTGGGGTTTGTAAGTGTTTATGTACGCGTTTATATATTAAAAAAAAGGAAATAAAATTCTTTCAAAAAATATTATTTCAAAGAAATAAATGAATTTTCTAAAATATAAAAAAAAATATTAAAAAACAAAATTAATAAAATTCCAATAAACTTAACTATAAAACACGAAACTAAATGAATAAGATTTCCGTAAACATTTAAAAAAAAAGTCTTTAAATTCCCATTAGAGAAGAAAAAAAAAATTACTTTGAAAGATTTTTCATCTACAATAAAAAAAAAAAAAATGCGCTCGTTTTACACAGATTTTGTTTGCCTTGTAATGTCTTTTTTGCCTTATTATTCACACCTAATGGGAGAGACGCCAAAGTCTAAAGTCTTTTTCCAAAGAAACCACAATGCAGGTGTGATACTACAAGGCATTGGCATCATAAAAGTTAAAAAATTGAATTGGTTTAATTGCGTCCGAGAAAATAAATCTAACTTTAAATTATTTTTATTTCGCACATAATTCAGAAATGACAGCACACAATATTTTTTGCATTTTTACAGTACAGAAAAAATAATAACAACGGTTTATCTCTTAATTTTAAAATTGTTACTATATATTTAAGTATTTTTTGCAATACAATTAAATATTTATAGTTTAAACTGGATAATTTTAGATTTAAAATGTGTTGTAAACATTTTTAACTGATGCGAATAAAATTTTTAAGTTATAGAATAAATTTATTAAATACTCTAAAGTATTACAAATAAAATTTGAAAATTTTGATTGCTTTGGCAGAAATTTTTATTTTCCTTCAAATTGTTGGCATTAAATTCAGCAAAGTCCGGGAAAAGGCATATTCTTTCATCAACATTTTTCAAAACATCATTGTGGACATGACTTCGCGACAACAACTTTGTGAATGTCCTATTCGCCAAATAGGACGTTTAAAGTTAAAGGAAAAGCGTTCATTGGAAATTACGGAAAAGCCACCAACTAGCTCAACAGGGAGAAGATGTTCAACCTGCCTCACAATTCTCTGCAAAGAATTGCCTCGTAAATGTTTAACTTCAACATTTAGAGAGAATATGTATCAACTGGCTTCAAAAGATTCAAAAGTCGCAGATGAAATTGCTTGCTCAGCCATCCAAAGTAAAGAAACTTCTCCATTTGGTACAGTGAGATTGATGCATGCTTTAAGTGGCAAGCCCCCCTGCTCATACTCCAGATATGAAAATATATTAACTAAGAGTAATTAAATTATTTTTTCAAAGAATTAATAAAATAAGAACAAAGTCTATGTTCTTATTTTAGGCCCTTCATGTGTCAGACGACTTTTTGATGATAAATCTAATGTCAATGCAAAAGATCTTGTACAGGTTCAAGCAAACACCGGGATGTCTAATTCTGGAGTTAAAAAAATGATCACAACACTGAATCAAGTTTCCAAAGTCAAGATTTTGGAGCCCAATATCAATGTAAAGTTCGTAGAACTTGGAAAGAGCCTTGCTGACCATTTTACTTGCACATTGATGACATCTTTCACTGATTATGGAAATCAAAAGATTGCAAGATCTGTCATTCATTGCAAGGATTTATCAGCACTTGTTAAGTAAGTACTTTTATCACGAAAATTTTTACAGAAAATATCATCAAACTTGGCATTGATGGAGGTGGTGGATTTCTCAAAATCTCCTTAAGTGTCATCAAGCTCAAAGACAATGACAAAGTCAACTCTCCCCCTCACAATCGCCTCTTGAAAAGCTAATCATCTAAAGACACAGGTGTGAAGCAACAACTCTTGATTGCTATTTGTAAAGATGTCCAAGAAAACTACAACAGCATCAAAGAAATCCTCTCATGCATCAATATCGGCACTGTGAGGAACGTTATTTCGTATGAAATGAAATTGGCCAACATCTTATGTGGACTTCAGTCCCATGCATCTCCACATCCATGTACCTGGTGTAATGCTGATTGAAGTCAGCTTGCTCATCCTGGAATCCTGAGAAATTCAGAGAGGCTTGTTCTGTTATTAAAAAGGACAAAAAATTTGGAAATGTCATTCACGAACCACTTATAGTCACAACTGAGGAAACTCTGGTGCTGGAATTGATACCACAAATGGAACTTCATTTTTGCTGGGTGTTGTCAATCATTTGTACAAAATACTGAGGTAATGCTGGCCCCAAGCAGACAATTGGTTGATGGCGCTTCATATCCAACCCCAGCTATTCCATGGAGGTCAGTTTGCAGTCAATGATTTTTACAAGCTTCTAAAAAATGTGAATCTACTTCAAAGTCTTGTTGAAAAAAGTTCAGCATTTCAGGTTTTTAGCATAATAAAGGCATTTCGAGCATTCAGTGCTGTTGTTTCAGCATGCTTTGGGAAAAAACTGGATGAGTCAAATACAAGAAAAATTGATGGTTTTCGTAATTCATTTCTTGCTCTCTAAAAGGGAAGTGTGACTGTGTCTAAAGATTCATACCGTTTTTTTCCACATCAAAAACTTTATCAAGATGACCAACCAGCCCCTTGGTATCTATAGTAAACAAAGTGTCGTGACCCTTAACAGTCGATTTCAGTCACATTGATTAAGGTACAAAAGGCCGATCAATCATCCAGAGTATGGAAAACTTCTTCAAGCATGTGTTGTTGATCTCAACAAAAAAAGTGTTTTTCAAAGAGTGTTATTCAAGAAGAATCCATGTTATTAATATAAACCATGTTTTTTTTTAATTTGATATTTTGTTAAAAAAATTTAGTGTACTGTAAAAATGCAAAAAAATATTGTATGCTGTCATTTCTGAATTATGTGCAAAATAAAGAAAACTTAAAATTAGTTTTAATTTCTCAAACGTAATTAAACCATTTCAATTTTTTGACATTTATAATCCCAATGCCATGTAGTATCACACCTGCATTGTGGTTTCTTCGGAAAAAGACTTTAGTCTTTGGCGTCTCTCCCATCAGGTGTGTATTAAAAATAACGCTTCGTGATTTATAGTATTAAGAAGTTCATAAAAATAAATGTTCATAATAAAGTAATTTAAGGTTTTTATAACTATTTATAAATCAAATTCAAAAAATGAATAGTAAGGAGAAAAGGTTAAACACTTTTACTAATCGTTTAAAGAAAGTGTTTCCTTTCTAAACGCAGATAAAAGATGAGCTTTTCAAATGTACTATTTATCAAAACATATTTGACATTAGTAGTCGCCGACTGTCTGCAATTAAAGATCATTCAAATCTATCAAACACAAAACGCCATTGGATGCTTCTATATTGTCAAACAAAATCACAAAGTTGATGAAGAGTCAGAATTTTAGTCAAAATGAAAAAATATTAGCCATTCAAGAAGGAATAATTGCATTCCACACAATCAAACACAACCATTGCTTTAGAAGTGCTGATCACACATCAAAGCTAATTAATAAATTTTATAATCCAAGATTTGCTTGTGCGCGTACAAAATGTGAAGCAATAATTGTAAACGTCTTCAAGAAATATTGTGAAACTAACTCAGAAAATGCTTTGTTAAAAGCATCATACGTGTCAATTCTTTCTGATGCATCAAATCACAAGGACGTTAAAATGTATCCAACTTTGGTTGGTTATTTTGATGTTAAAGAGCGAGTGCAAATTCAACTGATTAACATGAATTGCTTATATGGAAACATCTGATATTTTATCAGAAGTTTTCTTTAAATGCATTAGTGCTTACAATATTTCTTGAAAAGTTTTTGCTATTTCTGCAGACAACACCAATACCAATTTCGGAGGTTTAAAACGGAACGGTAAAAACAATATTCACAAAAAGTTAATCGTTAAGCTAAACCGTGAAATCATTGGTATCGGTTGCAATGTTCATATTTTATCAAACGCAATAAACACTGCATCTGGTTGTTTATCTATTGATGTGAAGATAATTATTCCTCAAATTTATTTATTTTTTTGCCGTTTTACTGTTCGAGTTTCTAGTTTAGAAAATTTCTGCGATGAGGCCGGTGTGGAATATCAAAAATTGCTAGAACTCTTAAAAGTTGATTAGTTGGCATAGTTCCAGCCATCGAAAGCTTAAGTTGTATCAGCCACTAAGTTCATACTTTTTAAGCTTAGAAAATTATTCGAAACATTTATTTGACTTTTTCAATAACGATATGGGTGAAATAGTATTGTTTTTTGTTCACTGTCAAGCCAATGTTTTTTAGAACATGGCAAAAAAAATTTGAGAAATGTGATATTTCTGCTGCTAAAGTTGCCGTTGTATTAAAGAATTTGAAAGACCAGATAAAATCTTGAAAAGAAGAAAAATTTCTACCTTTCATGGTAAGACAGCATTTGCAAGTTACCGAAAAAAAAAGTTATTATTTGAAAAACCAATTTCTGTAAGAAGTAGACATATTTTACAGTGTCTGTCTAGAGTATATAGATAAAAGAACGTGTCACTTTAATCATGTTGAAGTTTTTAAATGGTCTTTCCCAGTTAGCACAGGACGTTTTTAAAACGTTTAAAAAACTTGTTAAAACGAATATTAACGTTTTTTAAACGTTTTAAAAACCATCTGTGCTTACTGGGTTACTTAACTGTAAAGTTGAATGGATTAAAAATTATTGAAACTATATTATTTAATGACAATGAATTGTTCGATAAAATTTGGACAACTAATTTATATTGCAAAAAGGAAAAGTTTTCTTCTTGGAACTCACAGTCTGTTGAATATGACAAGCGATACGTTTAAATTTTTTCTCATTTCGAAAATAATCATGTTCCTTATAACAATTTGTTAAAATTGGTGGAAGCCGCTTTATGTTTGCCAAGTACAAACGCTTTTGTAGAGCAATCGTTTTTGATTGCCAATGATATTTGGACGGAAGGGAAATCCCAACTTACAATGAAAACTTTAGTAGCCATTTTGTTTGTTAAATTTATTTAAGAAAATATAGTTGCTCAGATTTTGCAGAAAAAATTGAAAAAGATGACATGTTGCTGAAAACAATTCATTCTAATGAAAAATATTTGTAATTTAAAATTGCAAATATTGTTCAATATATTTCTATAATTTAGTTTCTTTACGTGCTATTTTAAAATAGGAAAGAAAAAAGTTTGAGGGAGAAAATGAAGATCGATCGAGCGGCTGGTAAGTTTGCATACATATCTTATGATAAATTGATAATTCGTGATTGGTTAGCAAAGAAAAGCAAAAATTCATCTTCATAATATTTGTAATTAACGGAATTTTATTTTTACTATTACTTATTTTCAAATTAAACAGTTTTAAAAATGGAGGAAAATTTCATAATTAAATTTTCGAATGAAAATGGCGTTTTCGGTGATAATGAGACGCAAATTACTATAATCACAAAATGTTAGAAAGTAAATATTAGTCCGTTTCGGAATGTTTGCAATATCTTAAAACATTTTTTCAATTTTAAATATCTATATTCGAAGTTTGAACAAAAATTTTGAAAATTTAAAAATATTATTAAATGAAATTAAGCACGATTTTAAATTATATGAGTGACGGAAACTTGAAGTAAAAGTGATGAAACAAATAATGAATTTGAACTTGTTACATCAATTCACCAACCACGTGAATTAAATGCAGGTGGGGGCGTTAGTAGTTTTATCCACAATTCACTTAATTATATTTTACGCAACGACATCTGTGTTAATATAAAGTAGGGTTTCCAGAAAGAAAAAAAATCATAAAAACCAAATCACTTACTGTTTGTAGTACACACAATACACATAAATATGTTATTAAGCATAAATATAATTATTACTGACTTATATTGATTTTTTATATTAATATATATAATTGAAGTTTTTTTGGATTTTGTTTTCAATTATAATTTTGGTTTTACTTTCAGTTTTAGTTTAGTGTAAGTTCAAGTAGTGTAAGTTTAGTTTTGTGTAAGTTCAAAAAACTTTTAAGCCCAATGTCCAAGGCTTACTAAAATCTTCAAAAAAAAAAGAAAAATAGTATATAAAGTTTCTTAAAAAAAAGTCTTACAAAAATGAAATAACTTCGGAAAAACAAAAAGATACTCAAAAAAGCTTTATTATGCTCTGTTATTAAAAATGCCAACGGAAACACTAAAAAAGTATGGAATGTAATTAAGGATTTAATTGGAAAATATAATTATAAAAAAAAAAACACTCGCCAAAAAATTTTTAAATTAATGGAAAATTAGTTTACGATAAATCAATTATAGCTAAAGAACTAAACAACTACTTTGTTAATATTGGTCCAAAATTGGCTGCTAAAATTCCCCCTAGCTCCACTCCTTTTGATTCATATTTAAAAACTATAAATTATGGACGAAACTAGGTTGAAACATAGCGAGCTAAGAGTTGCATTTATAAGTCTAAAGAATAAAAAAAGTGTGGCTTTTATAAAATTAGTAGTGATATTGTCAAATCAGTAGTTGACATTATTGAAGCTTCTTTATTTTATATATATTTATTTCATATCTTTCATTTAAGACAGGTTTTGTTCCTGACAAACTAAAAATTGCCCGTATAACACCAGTTTTTAAATCTGGAGATAAATTAAATATTCTAAATAACAGACCTATATCAATATTATCTTGTTTTTCAAAATTGCTAGAGAGAATAATGTAAAATAGGCTATATAATCATCTAACTGAGAACGACATGTTGTATTGCACGCAATTTGGTTTTAAAAAAAAAAACTCCACTGAACATGCATTAGTTGAACTAACACCTTTGATAAGGACTGTTTTACATTAGGAGTTTTCACTGATTTTTCGATAGCTTTTGATACGGTAAATCACGATATATTAATAAAAAAATTGAAAACTACGGAGTGAGAAATAAAAACCTACTTTGGTTCAAAGGGTATCTGACCAACCGAAAGCAAATTTTTGTACTATGATCAAAATAACACAACACCATATTCCATAACTTGCGGGGTTCCACAGGGCTCTTTTTTAGGACCACTCTTATTTCTATTGTACATAAACGGTTTTTAGTTAGCAACAAATCTTTTAGACCTAATTTTGTTTGCTGATTATTCCAATCTTTTTTGTTCTCACAGAGATATTAAAACACTTTTTAAAATAGTGAATGAACAGTTATGTAAATTTAATGAATGGTTTGTAAGTAACAAACTTTTACTAAATGTGGATAAAACAAAATATATACTTTTCCATAAACTAAATAAATCAGAAAACATTCCTCTTAAACTACCAAATCTTATAATTAATAATACTCTTATTAAAAGGGAAACATACGTAAACTTTTTAGGATTAAAACTGCATGAAAATTTGCTGCGGCGTTCACATATAAATAGTATTGAAACGACACTCTCAAAAAATATCGCAATAATATTTAAGGCTGAACCTTTTCTAAATGTAACATCCCTTTTCTCATTCCGTTTGCGTTTTTCAAAAAAAAAAAAAAATGAACCAGTTTTTATTGAAACATATTTAAACAAGGTCCGTAGGCAGGGTGGAAGCGAGGGGGGCACGTGCTCCCCTGCTTGTTAGAACAACACAAAAAACGGCGAAAATTTGAAGGTCTTGAAAATTTAAAAAGTATAATTATTCATTTTATTAAATTTATGCAAAAAGTCTTATCAAAAAATAGGTGAATATAGACGCCGAAAAAAAATTACCCTTTGGCGCCTTAACTTTTATTTTATTTTTGGCGCCTTCTGAAAAAGTGTTTCCCCTTCGAAGATATGGTATTTAAATCGCCTTAAAAACAGCCTCAATAAGGATCCACTAAAATTAGGTTTTGCAATTTAAAAACATTTTTGACTTTAGCGCCAATACTAGCTCTTAATACTAAAATAATTGCAAATAATCCTAAGCAAAATTAACGTTGATGATCCTAAGCAAAATTAATGCTGATGATCCTAAGCAAAATTAATGCTGATGATCCTAAGCAAAATTAATGCTGATGATCTTAAGCAAAATTAATGTTGATGATTCTAAGCAAAATTTTGAACAAATATTGAGTAAGATGGTTTTTTTCATTTCGATATTAAATCCTAAATGTATAGTAATGTATATGCATAATAATTTAAAAATATATGATATAAGATAATTGATGAGCACGATTGAAAATTTTCGTGTTTTGGTTACCTACAGTATTTTATTTGTAAACTTTTATCCTTTCAGTCGATTTAAATGGTCCTAATATTGATTTTATTTTGCAATATTTAATAACTAATTTCATAATGTTAATAACATAATAATAACTCTTCAAAAAATTTAAGATATTTTTCTACAAAGATTGCAAAGACAATTACCTGTTGCACTGATGCTACCAATGTTATTTTACATTTTTTTTATTTTTTTTTTTTATTAAAAAGTTAAAAGTTATTCAAAAGGTTTCTTCATCATTTAGATGCTAACTTCAGTATGTCAGCATCAGCTTTAAATTTGACTTCGGCTGAGGAAACAAAGCACATTTTATCAACATACACAAATGTTTGTGCTAAAATAAAAAGAGCATGAAATGTTGTACACTGTTCATTATGTTGTACAATAAACAAGAGGCATGGAAAAAAGTTTTGAAGGTTTTGGTTCTATTTTTTTTATATATAGTAATTACATGACAAATATATTTTTTGTATTGAAGGTAAATAAAAAAATATATAGTTGTAACACACAAACCTTAAAACTAACTGGTTTATTTAATAATCAATATTTTGTTCATTTTGTGAGCTAGGTAATTGCTTTGCATATTTCTTCAAATAAAGACGTTTGTTATTTATTTAACATATATAAATAAATATATATTTAGCACAAATAATATTGCAGTAATCTTTGTTCTTCGTAATCCAATACGAATTAAGTTTATGTAAATTATATTAAACTATGTAAATATAATTTATAATAGTTAACTGTAACTATGTAATTCAAAGTCTGTTTTTTCAAAAATATTGAACAGTAAACACAAAGTATTTTTTGAGGATCATGATGTTTCTTACACTGGAGTACCATTCATTGTTTCGTCAAATGGTAATCCAACATGGGAGTGATAAAAAATAGTAAGGCTAGAGCTCATTCTTGCGAGAAAAAAAGAATGGTTTTGCAGATAACTAAGAAATTTGATTGTCCTTCCAAAGTTTTTATAAAAGAAATTATTGAATTTCCTGAGTTTAAGGTTTTATATTCTTAGTTACCATAAATAATTAATTTTTGATATGCATATAAAAATTTGTAAAAAATTCGGTCATGGTCCAATTTTAGTTGGTATTTCATACATAAATTATAAATATTTTTTTAGCTAGGTAAAGATTCTTCCTGGTTACAGAAAGACACTTTCAAATAACTACGTTTTGTTTTGGCATTAAAAAGTACTTTTTTAATATGCAGAAAATATATTTTGTTTTTTAATGTACATAAAATAACTTTTTTTTTTTTTGTTAGAAAATATATTTCTGCTATTTCTGTTCATAAAAACCATCAAACTGGAGATGTAAAGTAACACCATTACAATTACTCTAGGTGTGAGACCATTGCAAATAATATGATGATAGCTAGACAAAAGCTTCTTAGATTCATGAAAATCTTTGTAGGTCCAAGGGAGGATTCAACTCTGAAGAAAATGATCCAGATTCTAATAATTCATTGTTATTTGTATATCAAAATGCATGGCAAAATATACTGCTATTACGGTATGGTAATGAGTTTTCCTTTTTTGATGCTATGTACCCAACAATAAGATATGCGCTACCTCTCTTGTTCCTTGCAGTGAAAATAATGTTGAATACCAACTTGTGGCTATTTTTATTTGTAAATATGAAAATACAGAGGCTATTGCAAAAGCACTTATATGTATCAAAGAATAGAATCCTTTATTTCAACCTAATTTTTTTTATAAATGATTATTCAAATGAAGAAATAAATGCACTTAAATTTGTTTTTCCAGGTTAAGACATTTAAATATTATTCTTTAGTGGTACTAAATAAATTTCATTGCAAATAATATTACTTTTTATTAATTGTTGATTTTTTTTTGAAATTGCTGTTATTATTTGGATCATAAATCATACTTGCTTACATAATTTATATATTGTTTTAGAATTTACTTAGATTGTACAGTGTTTATTTGTGATTTTTATTGAGAACAATGACTGTCTAAAATGGCTAACAGGTGTATTATGATAAAAGATTAAAGTTCAACTTTGTCACATTGCACATACTTAAACAACAGAGGATTGCAAAAAAGCTGGTAAGACACTAGAAGAATCACAATAGTGGCAAAATAACCCAAAACTTGTAGTATATTTGAAAAGCACTTCGTTATTTATTCAAAAGATTGTTCATAAATAACAAAAACAAAAACTCTTATATCTTTATCAAAGTTGACGTAATATAAATGTTGATATTGAAAACTTTAACTTATTGTTCTTAACTTTTTTTGATCTTAGTTAAATTTTCTACTTATGTTTTTGCTGAATGTCAACACCAATGATGGAACCGAAAGGCAAAACCTATCTTTCAAATACAGTTTTTTAGAAAAAAGAAAGAATTTTTCACTAACAGCTATGCTAAGTATTTTCATAGAAGAGTTTTTCGTCACAGATATGACAAGTTAGATAATCCAACTATTACAATAATTTTTTACTATATAATGTTATTTTTATCTCCTTTCTGTTAAAAAGATTTTTAGGCTGTCCATTTTTTCAATTATTTTTGTTTTAGTTATTGCGATGAAAATAGAAGAGCACATTCTTCATATAGAATATACCATGGTGGAATTCTTTAGTTAAACATTGTATTAAATTAATAGATAAATTACAAGGTGCAGATATACGGGACATTGGTGCTGTGACAGAAAAACTATGCAATATAGCTTCTTTTAATTCAAATAGTAGAAAAATATACTAATGTTACCTTGGTGATTCAGAGCGTTTGCCTGTTCATGTTATAATTGATTTTGTAGCCCATATCTATGTAAGCCTTTTCTGCCATTTTTATTAAAGAGAATCTTTCTTGGTCTGCATTTGGTGCCTCGTATGCTAACTCTCCTTATTTTGAGTTAGATATATTACCAGATAAACTTACTTTAGCACATTCAATTGAAAGTTTATTACACAATAATCAATTTAAACAGGCAACACCACTGCCTTTATCTCTACCTACTAAACAGAATAAAATAGATTTTAAACATGTAAATTGTATGCAAGTAAATAATAGTCATGGTCTTATTGCTGAAAACACTCGTAGTCATACATCTACAACCTGTCATCAGCTCTTAAATGAAATTAGGCAAATGAGTAACTTTGAAAATGCTAATGATAATTTGTTTGAAGGGCTATGTCAACTCAAAATAAACTTAGCAGAATGTCTTCCAACAGAACAAGGAATTATACTGCGTCAAGAAATTCAACCTGATACTTGGAGTACGTCATTAAAAACTTTATTTTTAACATCTTGGCTTCCAACAAAGCTGCAAGATACCACTATTAGAGTTGGAAGTTACTGGAAGAAAAAAAATAAAGATAGCAGAGCCAGATGAGGATTGATAGACAACTTAAAAGATTGCAAACTATATGAATCAGGAAAGAAAAATGAAGGAAGCGAATTCGAAAGAACTGATGTTCGAGGAAAAAAGAGTTTTTGGAGCACTTAGGAACAGTCACAGAAAAATAATGAGAATTAACTGAGTGACGAGTAACACGAGAATGAATTTAAGTAGATGGCACAAGAGTCACTAGCTCTTTAGAGCAGTGCCCATTATAGTATTTGTAGAAAAGAGAAAGAGAAGCAACGTTACGACGATGTGATAATGGAGGAGGCTGCAAGAACAGGTCCAACTATGTGACCCCAATGCTGTAGCAGAAATGAGATTTATTTCAAGCTCAAATGCCCCTTCAAGCAATCAGAGAGCGTTGGCTTCTTATCATGACAAGAATAAATAGTAGTCTTAGCAAACAATGCCACCTTAGATTTGAGAGTATCTGGAAGATTGTTAATGTATATTAAAAAGACTATAGGGCCAAGGACTGAACCTTGAGGAACCCCCGAAGTTACAGAATATGAAGAAGAGTGCTGTCCATTGAAGACAACTTTTATACTACAATTGAAAAGGAAGGATTTAATAATCTTAAAGATGTTACCAAATACACCGTAAGAAGAAAGCTTATGGAGGAGACCAGCATGCCAAACTTTGTCAAAAGCTTTAGAAATGTCAAGAGCAACGGCCTTAACCTCTCCACCTTTATCTAATACATGATAAAATCAATTGGTTATTACTGTTAGCAAATCAGCTGAAGAACAAGAAGATTGAAATCCATATTGATGATCAGAAAGTAAGTTATCAGATTCAAGATGAGACACTAAGTGTTTGTTAATTAAAGATTCAAAAACTTGCTTATGATAAGAAGTAGACTAATGAATCAGATCTAAGAAGACGAATCGAATCAAACGCTAGAAGAAGAACGAAACGAAGAAGACAATTGAATCAAACGCTCTCCAGAAATTTTTAAAATAGGAAAAACAGATGCCGCTTTCCAGCAGGCTGGAAAACAAGACTCTGATAAGCACTTATTAAATAGTTTTGAAAGTAAATACGACTGCTCCGGAAAACACTTCTGCAAGACTATAACAGGTATGTTGTCCGGACCACAAGCTGTAGATGAGTCTAAACAGGAAATCATCTTAGATACAGAGGCTGGAGTGATACAAATGTCAAGCAATGGATCAACCTATTTGACGGCTTAATTAGTTTGAATGTAACTAGTGGAATCAAGAGATGATATTGATGAAAAGTTCTTAGCAAACAATTCAGCTTTGTCTTTAGGTAAGGTGACAAAGTCTGAACCATACAAGAGAGGTGGAATAACAGATTTGCCCGTATTATTGATACTATTAAAGATTGTCCAGAAGGCTTGAGAGTCTATGTTTGTGATGAAATACGAGATTTCATGACCGGAGAATAGCGGGCTTTGGCGTTAGACAAAACTTTTTTACAATAGCAGTATTAAGCGTCTGTTTTCTGGAGCATTGTTTTGCTGATAGATATGGAAGTAGCGGTGTTAATTGGAAATTGCAGCAGCATAATGTGAGGAAAACCAAAGAGAAGAGTGGGGCTTGACTTGGAATTGTTGAGAGGGAATAAAAGATTCCATGCCAGCCTGAATCCACGAAGTTATGTAAGAAGCACATTTATTAGCAGGAAGACGAAATATTTGTCAGCAGGACGACAAAGAAAATCACAGAAAGATTCCCAGTCAGCTTTAGGTAATTGAAAGACGTACGATGATAGGGGAATTCAGATGATGAAGAAGAACGAGATAATAGTTTTAGAGAGATCAAACCGTGATCAGAAGTACCTAAGGGTGAATGTGGAGAAACTAAGCACTGACTAGAATCAGAAGTCGAGTTGAGAAGATAAATAATTCGGGTTCTTGGGAAACCGAGTTGGAAAGTTGACTGTTTGAGTAAGGGATTGAGAAAGGCAAAAGTTGTGGGCTTTAACGCCAGCAGAGTCACTGACGCGATAACCAAGTCATTTCGTGTGACGAACATTAAAGCCACCAACAACAACAATACTGGCTGATGGATAAAGAGAGAGGGTTCGGTCTATTAGATCAAAAATAACATAAAAAGAGTGTAGTCTTGAAGGAGAGCAAAGTAAAAGGTAATAGAGTGAAGTGGTGCTTAACGAAAGCATATAAAAGAATAGTCTATTAATTAAAACCTAGTTTCCCGACAAATGTACCCATTTGTCGGGAAACTAGGTTTTAATTAATAGTAAATTCTTACGAATGCAAATGTTCAGTAAATTCTTACGAATGTAAATGCTCAGGCCAAGCATGTGACTATTGGAGTCTTAACGAATTAAAAGAAGATAACCAACAACACTAAGATCACAAAATGAGCTGAACTCAAATTAGTCTCACAAAGGGCAAGCCTCAATGTCTGGTGAACTTTGCAAAAGGTAAGACTCAAAAGAAGAAAAGTTACTTCATAGACCACGAATTTTAGAAAATGATAGGTTTTGAATTTGAGGTTTAGAGAATTTGGTGATGACGATTTACCGAAACTTAAATCTATGCGAGGCAAAAGAAAATGACAAAATGAGTTAGTGTTAAGTATGATATTTATAAAGCAGTAATAGATATTAATGTAATTGCTGAAAAGGAAGTTTCTGTTTTAGATATTATCACAATTCAGTAAATTGATGAAAATTGTAAAATATTTTGCTGGTCCCAATGGTGCAATTAAAACAAACAATCTTTCAACTGATGATAGTAACAAGTCATTTGAAGTGGCCAAGCATTGTTCAACGCATTCAAAGTATAAAATCTTCTTTGAATAGAAAAAAAGAATAATGTGATATTACAAGTGGACAAATGCTTAATGATAAGGTGATCCACTTGGTCAACCACTGATGTCAATTCAATTAAATATCATAGAATATAAATATATGTTGGTCTGCAAGAACCTGTTAAATCTCAAGTTATATCTTTCAATATTTATCTGAGCACTTGATTTGTCCAAATTCTTCATGATGGAAATCTCCGCTGGGTATGTGTAACCACATATGATTGTAAACTAGGGGAGATATATACATTTAACAGCCCTATGGTTCAATCAGCTCGCAAACAAAAAGACAAGCTTGTTTGCAAGCTGATTGAACCGTAGGGCCGTTACAATGTCATCAAAAAAATCTTGTTCTTAAAGTTTTGCCTATATAAAAATAAACAAATGAGTGAATTTTGGACTTTATACTACTGCATGTTCTCGTCAGATTCTTGAATTAAAAAGTATACCATTAACAAATCTGATGTTTGAGCAAAATGAAATGAAAAGTCATCTACTAAATTGTTTATTAAAAAAATTTTGGAGGTATTCCCAGCCACTACAAATCATGTTTCGTTTAGAAGATGTTTTTCTAAAACATTTCGTGTTCCTTTTACCTTTGGAAAACTTTTGGTAACATTTTAAATAATAAAATGGAGAGTAAGTGCTGCAACAAAAAGAACTTTAAATGAAACATTTTTCCAACAAAAGTGAGAGAACTCTCTGCAACAGTTTTCTTTTCCATTTTCAAGAGAAAGCCATTTTGTTCTTTTTAAGCAGAAGTTTTTAAATGTTTTTTTGAAAACTAATAGTTAAAAGTACACCCAACACCTAACATTTAAAAAAGAATATTATTAAAATAGAAAACAATACTTATTAAAGCTTAAACAAAGGGTAACTTATTATCTCTTTAACATATTATTATTTTGTATTTATTAACAAAGTTAATTGTAATAAATTCACTCTGATATTGTATCTTATTTGCAATTGATGTTGATTATCGTTTGGATCTTATTTTTCCAGTCTATAGAAAAATAAATAATCAATATATTTGTTTGTTTTTATCCTCTTTCTCTATTTTGATTTGCGCTTTCTATAAAAAAAAAAAATCCTAAAGGTTTCTTTTTTTCAGCTATGATGACTCAAAAACTTATTGTTTCAAATAATTAACTAACTACTACTTTTTTCTGTAATTATTTTTTTCATTGAAGTGCAGAAGCAAATACATACAAAACTAATAGTTTAAAATAAAAACTTTAGCGCCACCTAATGTCAGTTTGCATTTAAATAAACATTTAACATGATTTAAATAAACAATTAATTCACAAATTTATTCTTTCAAAAAAATAATTAACTGTTATCCTTAATCTAGTTATTTTTTCATTGAAGAGCTGAGAAAAAAAAATTTCAAAAATGATTAGTCTAGCATATAAAGTTTGGCGCCCCTATCATGTAAACAACTCAGTACATATACACATTATGGATGCTAAAAAGTGTATTTTTTATAAATTATTTTTTTATAATCAAAATTTAAGATTTTAATGATTTAAAAAAAAAAATAAGAAAAAAAAAAAAAAAACGTTGGCTATTCCAGCGCGGCGCTTTAGCCAAGCCAACGCCCTATGCGACCGCAAAATTCACATAGCCGTCGCGCCGGCCCTGCTTATAATTTAAGTTTCAACGCAGTAGAAAAACATTTTTCTGAGGTAAATGACACAATCAAAAACTTTTTTTTTTCAAAAAAGTGGAGAATAATTTATTTCTAATGTCTCCATTTGCAGACTAGTTTATATAAAACTTATTGCTTAGGGGAGTGGAAGGTTTCATGCACCCCTGACCCCAAACTATGGCAATTTTAAAGACTTTTCTGCAAACAACTGATTGAAAATCAGTTCATAAATAAGGACTTTACAAAATATTCAATTCATCTGAATGTTTGAGAAAAAATACAAATTTAATCACTTTTACAAAGTAAAAGTGATTAACCAAAATTAGTTTAACTCTAGTCTAACTTTTTTTGGAATTATGCTTATTTCTGTCTGTTTTTTTTTCGAAACTATGCTTACATAAATCCCGAAGCAAATCAATGTGCTCAGAAAAAAAGAGTAGTTTTAATTTGGCTTCTCACTAGTGGTGCACCGATGCATCAGCCATGGTAATCATCGGCCGGTGCAAATAGTTTAAAATATCAGTTTTTTTAATTTTTTTTGTTTCTATATTGTATAAAAAAAATATAATTATGCTTTTTTATATAATATAGAAACACAAAATTAAAAAGACTCATTTTTTTAAATTGTTTTGAAAAATGAGTCTTTTTAAATTTGGGTTTCTATATTGTATAAAAAAAAAAAATAACTATTATATTTCTTTATACAATATAGAAACACAAAATTAAAAAAACTGACTTTTTAGCAAATGGCATCGGCCGATGCTTACCAAGACCGATGCCAATGCACTCCTACTTCTCACCCAGTTGTCTAAATAAACTTTTTGATAAATGTGGTTTACTTTTTTTAATCTAAAAAAATTATTAAGCTTAATTTGTTTATCAGCCTTGAGGAGCAGCCCCCCTCAGCCTTGGGGTGATGGATACAGGCTCGTTGTAAATCTTTTGAAAATTATTCTTAAAGAAAAATAGTGATCCACCGAAATAAAAAAAAAGCTGAAACTGAAATAAACCGAAATTTCGGGTACTCAAATTTGGTGCTGAAACCGAAACCGAAATTTAGGCAAATATTTTACCAAAACCAAAATTTCGGCTAGTTAAAATTTATTTCATTAGAAAAATTTATTTGAAAATGCAACTTTACATTTGTTGATTTTTTAAACTTGTATTATGTTAAAATTAATTACACGTGTAACTTAAAAATTAATATTTTATACATAGGTCGGCGATATAAGTTAATAGCGAAATTTAACTACTGGCAGATTTTCTCTGCAAAACAATGTTTTTTTTAAAGTATTTTGAGAAAATTCAAAAAAAAAACTGTTTTTCTAAAATAGATAAATATCGGTTAACGGTATATTTTTCAACTGAATATTCGGTTTTTACCAAATTTATAAAAAGTATCGAACCGAAATTTCGGTATCGGTTCAAATTGAAACTTCGGCCGAAACCGATTTCGAACCAGAATTCCGGTCGATCACTAAAGAAAAAGGTTTATAAATTGATTAAAGATTAAAATCAAACCGTCTTGCAATTTTTTTTTTTTTTTTTTGACGTTAATACCATATATTATCAAAACTAGCAAATATTCGCAGACGACACGTACTCTTAGCTGAGGTTTGCTCAAAAAATAAAAATATTTAACTTCAAAGATATAAAACTTGAAAAACTTAAAGATATACATACTAAACTTTTAGTTTTAAATATACAGAACCAAATGCTGATGTTATAAAAAAAACATTAAGGATCCACCAAGAAAAATAAGAACAAATTGCATTTATAAGTTTCACTGAAAATAATCCACGCATCATCTTAACATATTCTTCTTTACTTACGGGTAAAGTATTGTTTGTTTGGAAACCGCTGAGATCTGTTGAGTCGTTTACATGGTACGTGAGGGTCCGTACCATAAGCGACAAAAATAAGACAAGAATAAGAGGCGTGATATATTGCAGTGCAGCTGCAGATAAGTAATAAAATACCCTAGCTATAGTACGCTGTAATTCAATATTTGTTATTCTCCCCGTTTCTTTTTTTAGCTTTTCTACTTTCTTGCAAGCTAGATTTAAATACGATTGAAGAAACTGACGCGTAACTAATAAACGAAGAAAGCATATCAAAATTGTTAAGTGAATTCTTAAATACAAAAATGTTTCATCAGATATATGCTGTTGTTGGCTGCTCGAATTTTTTGTTACAATTAAAGACTTAGATAACGGAAGAATCCAAAGTAATGATAAAAATAGAGGACTAAAGAATACTAGGTTTATTAAGCCATAATTCCAACTATTCTTGGAATAGTTTAAAGATTCTATGTGCATGTTGGCATATCGAATACCGGGAAAGCACAAAACAGCTCCGACCAATGAAGACAAAATGGCTAAAGATATCTTAAAAACCCATATTGATGGCACTTGTTTGACGCTAAAGTTTAGACGTTTGCATACTATTTCCAAATTTCCGACAAAATGATAGAATCCTTTTTCTAGTCCAAAATCCATTACACTTTCGTCTATGATAAGTACACCCATTGCAACAATGAAAAAAAATAATCCAAATGAAAGCGTCATTGATCGCTCCCCATCATCTTCTGTTTTCCAGTATGCCGAAGTAAGGGAGAAAAGTTCTTTTAAACAAAAATAAACAACCATGCCGCACCAAACCACACCTAAATTAAAAACTATTTTTAGATATATATTAGAAATACCCTTCCCTAAGAAACGCAAGCGTTACAAATAAGGCATTATAAAATATAAACCTGTTCCAATGACTTAATTATGATCTATTTAATGAGGTTATAAGGTTATAATTAAATTAATAATATTAGATTATATTTAGACTATATTTAAAAATGTTTACTGTTTATACATTAATATATAAGCTTAAACATATAATAGACATAACATGTTTTTACATTTTATCACTAATATATGTTAAAAATGTTAAAATGTTTAACTTTAAACAATATTTAGCTGGACTTTTTTTTTTTAATATTGTTATTTAATAATATTTAAAGACAAAATTTTAGGGCTTTAGTGCCAGCAGGATCAGCAGTACTAAAGACAAAACTTTAGGGCTTTAGTGCCAGCAGGATCAGCAGTACAAAAGACATGATTATGATGAGCATTAAAGACAACAATACTAAAAGATTTAGTAAAAAACTGGAAAATATTAGTAAAGAGTTTTCTCAGTTATTTCTCAATCGTTAGAATTTAATGAAAGAGTTACCAAATCAATTATTGCAATCTTTGACTGGGAAAGTCATTTTGGCAACTCTGAATTAATTATTTTTTTCAAATTAACCCCGAGATCCAAAAATGAGACAACCAAATTTAATATAGTCTAACAATGAGTAAGAAGGAAAGAAAAGTTAGAACAAAGTTGTAACAAACTAAAGATTCACACTAAAAACAAATATTTCACCATTCTTTATACTTTGGTATTTTACAGCCTTTTTGAGAGCTAGCATAGAATTACTAACTTATTAGAAGGGAAAACTTACTTCCAGCCAACCTCGGAACCATTAAAGTGAATTTTAGAGTGGCAGCTTCATTAAAAGATAACACAAAGAGTTGCACAGGCATATAAAAATCCATAATCAGCATTCTTATTTGTTGTTATGAAAAATACTATTAATATTCATGTTTAAGTTTAATTACACATCCTACATGATTATTACATTGAGATATTCTTTTAAAATATATATTAAACAGGTTTTTTGGAAGTTCTCATTAGTTCCATTAAAATCATTTCTCAAATGCTTAGCTTTGAAATAGTTTTGAACTCCTTTTAGACAGTAAGTTTACCTCAGGATTAAAACATTTAAAAATTTATGGCGTCAGTATCCTCCTAAACTAAACTTTGTTGACATTTTCACACTTTAGTCTTTTCTTTATGCTTTTGCAACATATTCAGATATTTTTGTATTAATAAAACTGTCATGATAAAAACTGAAAATACTATCCCAGTTTTCATTTATATTGGAAGCATTTTCATGAATATCTTCATTCAAAAAACTAATATTTTTTTTTTATTAGGCTTCTAAGAAATATTTGTCTAAAATTTTTTATTTCAACTCAATTATAAGCAGCCGTGGGGCAATGGTTAGAGTGTTTCTTTAAGGATCAAGAGCTACAAAGTTTGATGTATCTGGCTTTATGTGCAACATAAAAGTAGATGGTGTTTAACTTTTTAATTAAATGCACTTGTGAGGTGTTCTGCGACAAGACTGTTAGAACTTCTTGGAGCACTATAATAACTGAAAAAAAGATTAGGCTGACTAATCAACTACATTTTTAGTCAGCCTAACTAAAAAATGACTAAAAATGCAGCAGATGTCTATTTCTGTGCAGAAGAGGTTTAAATTCAAATTTGGCTGTTACTACAAACTCATAATTCTCACTAAAGGTCAACAGTAAATTCAATAGCAGCTTGTAATGTTCTAATTACAAGTGATTTTGAACACTCTTCAATTCAATTAAATACTTCAAATAAAAACTCCATTTTTTTAACTTAGTTTGCAAAAGGGTTCTTAAAATCATTATTTAAAATGAGTGGACATTGCACGCTGCAATTACAGTAGCACTATTAAGTTCAATATTATTAATTAGTTTTTATTAATATTAAATATTAATAAAAAATAAATATTAAAATTTTTAATAATTATTTTTCATTCACTGATTTTTTTTTTTTTATTTGCATTCACTCCCAACAAGGCTGCAAGCAACCACTATTAAGTTGGGAGTTACTAGGAAAAAAAAAGAACAGAGTTATAGAGCAAGGAAACGGTTGACAGAAGACTTGAAAAGTTGAAGGTTGTATGATTCAGGAAAACATGAAGATGGAAGAGAGTTCCAAAGGATTGAAGTGCGGGGAAAAAGACTAGATGAATAAAAGTTTTTAGAGCATGCAGGGACAGATACAGTAAACAAATGAGATACAGTAAACAAATGAGACTTAGCTGAATGACGAGTAAAACGAGAATGAATTTTAGTTGATGGAACTAGAGATGATAACTCCTTTGAGCAGTGACCATGATAGTATTTGTAGAAAAGAGAAAGAGATGCAACTTTATGACGATGGGAAAGAGGTTTAAGCTTAGCAGATAGTCCAGGTCCAACAACATTTACAATGCGTTTTTGGACCTTGTCAAGAAGAGAAAGTGAATCGTTAGAAGAACCAGCCCAAATATGACAATAGTATTCCATACAGGGACGAATAAGAGATTTGTAGAGGTAGAGAATGGAATCAGAAGTAAGGAAATGGCGAGCACGATAAAGAGAAGCAACCTTAGCAGAAGCTAATTTAGCAATCGATTGTATATATGGTTTCCATGAAAGGTCAGTAGTAAGCGATAATCCAAGAAGACGTAAAGAGGAGGACTCAGTAAGAGGATTGCCATTCATTAATATAGGAATGTTGACCATATTACGGTAGTTGTTTGCAGTAAGCAATTGGGTTTTTTTAGAGTTGAAATTCACAAGCCACTGTGAACCCCAATCTATTACTGAAGTGAGATCAGATTCAAGATCAGCTGCTTGTTCTAGGCGATCGAAAAGAGAAGACTTTTTGTCAAGACAGGAGTATAAAGTTGAGTCATCAGCAAAAAGAGCTACTTTAGATGAAAGGTTGTCAGGAAGATCGTTTATGTAGATAAGAAACAAAACAGGGCCCAGGATGGAAGCTTGGGGAACCCCAGAAGTTACTGGAAATAAAGAAGAGTGTTGGCCTTCAAGGATGACTTTAATAAACCGGTTAGAAAAAAATGATTTGATAATCTCAAAAACTTTCCCAGAAACACCATATGAAGCAAGCTTATGGAGAAGACCAGCATGCCAAACTTTGTCGAAAGCTTTAGATATGTCGAGAGCAATAGCTCTAGCCTCACCGCCTCCATCTAATGCACGATAAAATCTTTCAGTTACAGCAGTTAGCAAGTCGGCCGTAGAGCGAGAGGATCGAAAACCGTATTGATTGTCTGACAGCAGTTTATTTGACTCAAGATGAGATGTGAGGAATTTGTTGATCAAAGACCCAAAGACCTTGCTAATAACAGAAAGAAGACTGATCGGACGAAAATAGGAGGGGTCAGAATTTTCTCCAGAGTTTTTGAATATTGGAACCACAGATGCCATTTTCCAACAAGCAGGAAAACAAGACTCAGTCAAACACTTGTTAAATAGTTTAGAGAGAATTGAAGAAAGTTCTGGAGAACAATTCTGCAAGACTGTGACAGGAATGTTGTCTGGATTACAAGCTGTAGACGAGTTTAATTGAGATATGACTTTAGCAACAAAAGCCGGAGTGATTTGAATGTCTAACAATGGGTCAACCTGTTTGACTGGAATGGAAGGAAGAGAATGTCCATAAGATTCAAGAGTGGAATTAGAAGAAAAGTTCTTTGCAAATAGTTCTGCCTTATCCTTGGGAAAGGTAATAAGATCAGTCCCATGAATGAGAGATGGAATGTTAGATCTACCCTTGTTAACAATGCTGTTGAAGATTTTCTAAAAGTCTTTAGAGCCTAACTTCTGCGATAAGATGCAAGATTTAGTGAACTGAGAATAATGGAGTTTAGCATCACAAAGCACCTTTTTACATCGATTTCTTGCAATAGCCGTTTGTTCTCAAAAGAGTTGTTCTTTTGAAAAAGATGAAAAAAATGATTACGATATAGCAGCCGCACAAGAAGGAGAAAACCATGGAGTAGAATGAGGCTTGACTTGAAACCGACGAGAAGGAATAAAAGCTTCCATTCCAGCCTGAACCCAGGAGGTTACGTAGGAGGCGCATTTGTAGGCTGAGAGAGAAAAAACATCACCCCTAAACCTAGCATGTGACTATTTGAGTCTTTACGAATCAAAGGATAGTAGCCATCAACACTGACATCTGAAGAAGGAATTGCAGAATTTAAATTTGTTTCGCTGAGTGCAAGCAAGTCTGGTGAATTTTGCAGGAGGTAAGGCTCAACTGATGGAAAGTTACTTCGTAGACCGCGAATATTTGTAAAAGATATATTAAAATATTTAGGTGGTGGGGATGGTTTTTTAGGTTTTAAATTTTTGGTTACTTTGGTCATGATTTGGGTTTAATGAGAACTTGACTCATTCATAGATAGAGCACAGCCTCCTAATCAATGAGCTATGCAGTTGTCTCAGTCCTGTTAATTAACCCTAAGCCGTGACATAGGGCTCCTTATGTGGCCTTGACAATGCACACCAAAAGCATTAACAGGGACACCATCCATGCGCAACATGGCACTGTTAATACTCTGATATTTTGCAGCTGTTGATGGAATCAGCCTCTCTGAGAGCTACCACAGAGTTCGGGAAACCTTACTACCAGCCGGCCTCAGAACCATTAAACTGAGTTTTAGAGCTGTACCCTCATATGGAGATAACAGGAAGAGTTGCATAGCCATTATCAAGGAGGCATAAGCAAAATTCTATGAGTAGAGCCCATGAGATCCAGCATTCATCATCCTAGGCAGGAAACAATGTAACACAGGTTACATCTACGCCAGCCTAATAGATGAAGAAGGGGTTTGAGGCTGGTTAGCAGAATTTTTCTGCGTACCCCTAAAGTCTTTGCCTAGGAGGCCTTCTACAAGACAGTAGCAGGATGCAGTTAACATCTGCCCAAGATGAGTATTTTTATCGAGACACCATC